TCTCTCGCTCGCTTTCTTCTCTCTTTCGTTTCTGTCTCTCTCTCCACTCTCTCTATCGTTCTTCTCTCTCTCTTGCTTCTCTCTCTCTTTCTTCTCTCTCTGTCTTTCTTCTCTCTTTCTCCTCTCTCTCCTCTCCGTCTCTCTTTCTTCTCTCTCTCTCTCTGTCTCTCTCTCTCTCTGTCTCTCTTCTCTCTCTCCTCTCTCTCTTCTCTATCTCTCTTTTTTCGCTCTCTATCTCGCTTTTTTCGCTCTCTATCTCTGTCTTTGCTCTCTCTATCTCTCTTTCTTTGCTTTCTCTATCTGTCTTCCTTCTCTCTCTCCCTTTCTCTTTTCTCTCTCGCTCGCTTTCTTCTCTCTCTCCTTCTTCTCACTCTGTATCTCTCCTTCTCTCCCCATCTCTCTCTTTTGTCTCTCTCTCTCATTCTTCCCTATCTCTCTTTCTCCTGTCTCTCTCTCTCTTTCTCTCTCTCTCTTTTGACTTTCTCTCTTTCGTCTCTATCTCCCTTTCTTCGCTCTCTCAATCTCCCTTTCTTCACTCTCTCTCCGTCTTTCTTTGGTCTCTCTCTGTCTTTCTTCTCTCTCTCCCTCTCTCTTTCTTCTTGCTCTCTTCTCTCTCTCTCTTCTTTCTCTCTGTCACTTTCTTCTCTATCTCTCTCTGACTGCCTCTCTGTCTGTCTTCTCTCTCTCTCTCTCTCGCTTTCTTCTCTCTCTCTTTCTATTGTCACTGTTTCTTCTCTCTCTCTCTTTCTCTGTCTCTCTTTCTCTCTATCTCTCTTTCTCTCTCTCTATCTCTCTCTCTCTCTCACTCTTTGTTCTCTCTTTCCTCGATCTTTCTTTGTTCTCTCTCTCTGTCTTTCTTCTCTTTCTTGTCTCTCCCTCTTTCTCTCTCTCTTCTATCTCTCTCTCTTTCTTCTCTCTCTCTTCTCTCTCTCTATTTCGTCTCTCTCGCTTTTTTCACTCTCTATCTGTCTTTCTTTTTGCTCTCTATCTCTCTTTCTTTGCTTTCTCCATCTGTCTTTCTTCGGTCTCTCCCTTTCTCTTTCTTCTCTCTCTCGCTTCCTTCTCTCTCTCTTTCTTTCTTCTCTCTCTCAGTTTCTCCTCTCTCTTGCTTTTGTCTCTCGCTCGCTTTCTTCTCTCTCGCTCACCTTCTTCTCTCCCCTTCTTCTCTCCCCGTCTCTCTCTCATTCTTCTCTATCTCTCTTTCTCCTGTCTCTCTTTCTTCTCTCCCTCTCTCTCTCTCTCTTTCCATCTCTCTCTCTCTCTTTCCTCTCTCTCTCTCTTCACACTCTCTCGCTCACTTCACTACCTTTCTTCACTCTTTCTTCTCCCTCTTTCTTCTCTTTCTTCTCTCACTCTCTCTTCTTTCTCTCTCTTTCTTTCTTTTCCATCTCTCTCTTTCTTCTCTCTATCGCTTTGTTTCTTTCTCTCTCTCCCTCTCTTTCCTCTCTCTCCCTCTCTTTCTTTGCTCTCTCCCTCTTTCTTTGCTGTCTCGCTCTTTCTTCGCTTTCTGTCTCGCTCTTTCTTCGCTTTC